AAGGGGGGAGGGGGAACACCCCTCAAAGAAGGGAGTGCGAGGAGTGCCACGAGAAGCTCCTACAGCCACTATGCTGGTCTCAGCTGCAAGGAGGTGCTTCTCGAGCAGGTCGACAGTGAGGTCTGTGGGGTCAAGGGCGAGAAGGAGGTCCCTGACTGCGCTAAGAGAGTCAGGGAGGCGGGTGACGATGAAGTAGAGCGTGATGTACATGGGAGGAGGGTTCTTGGCTAGAAACTCGGCGGGAAGCGCGGCACGGTAGCGAGTGTCACTAGTGCGAAGGTGAGTGACGAGGTCGGCGACTGTGGCAAAGGAGGACAGCTCGGGGAACAGGTAGGGCAGTATAAGACGGCCTAGTGCAGCAGTGGCCGGGGAGGAGTAACGAGCGACTACAGCATCGTACAGGGCTTGAGCCGTCTTGTGCTGGCCAAAGTGGGCGCGTTCGGCTAACGGCAGGTGGCTGCAAACGGCTAGGCGAGCAGCAGCGTCACGGGTAAGCCACTGTGAGCGAGTCGCACGGTCAGCTATGTCGGAAGGGGCGAGAGAGGCTCCAGACGTGAGGTCAAATAGTGAGACACCGTCCCTAGAATCGCTCATTAAGTACAGCTGGAGGTCAACTAGCCACTCATCGAACTGTATGGGACGGCCCTCTGCATCGAAAGAGAGGACACTGAGAGTAGCCATCGCGGGCAAAGCAGTTGGGCGCGCTAGCAGCAGAGCAGCACACAGGCAGGGCAAAGCAGGGCGGCGGCCAGCAGGGCGGCGCGCAGGCAGAGCAGGGCAGGGCGGCAGTCAGCAGGGCGGCACTTGGGCAGGGCAGGGTGGCGCGGCTGCTAGCGGCGCGCAGGCAGGGCAGGGCGGCGCGGCCAGCAGGGCAGCGCACGGGCAGGGAAGGGCAGGGCGGATGCCAGTAGGGCGACGTGCAGGCAGGGCAGTGTAAGGGGGGGGGGCGCGTGGCGAGCAGTGCAACAGTGCGGGGCAAGGCAGGGCAGCCGCGCGTGCAGAGCAGCAGCGCGGAGCAGGGCAGGTGCACGGGGCAGAGCTCACACGTGCAGGCACGGCAGGGCAGCCGCGCTTGCTGGCACAACACTGTGCAGGGCAATGGCAGCAGTGCAGCGGCAGTAGAGCAGCAGGAACAGCGGGCCGGCGAGGTGCAGGGCCAGTGCAGGTGCGCGGGCGGCAGGGCAGGTGCGCACGGGCCTGGCGCGGGCTGTACGGACTGCGCGCGGGCCTGGCGCGGGCTGTACTGGCTGCGCGCGGGCCTGGCGCGGGCTGTACTGGCTGCGCACGGGCCTGGCGCGGGCTGTATGGGCTGCGTGCGGGCCTGGCGCGGGCCGTACGAGCTGCGTGCGGGCCTTGCGCGGGCTGTAAGGGCTGCGCGCGGGCGGCGCGCGGGCTGTATGGGCTGCGCGAGGGCGGCGCGCGGGCTGTACGGGCTACGCGCGGGCGGCTCGCGGGCTAAACGGGCTTGGCGCGGGCGAAACGGACTGCGCGCGGCAGGGCAGGGCAGCAGGAAGGCACGGGGAAGGGCAGGGCAGGGCAGAATTTCGGGCAGGAAAAAAAAACTAAGCGGTGGGCCAAAAAAAAAAGCAGTCCTAAGGACCTGCTCTGATACCATGTCGAGACTAGGTAAGGAGAATAGGTGGTGATTAGGTCAAGGGGGTGGGGTACAAGAACAACATCGACAGGAATTGTGTACCCCCTAGTGCTAACACCCATATAGCCTACAACCTATAAGCATATAAGTTTTGACAAATTCTGCCAAAATAACCCGTCGCACTCAAATCGCTATAGCGATCGGCGTAGATCTTGCTTAAAGGCGCGCTTTACCATTTCGAAGATTAGACAGTTATACCTTTCCAATGCATACCAGCCCATATTATGAAGATACGTGAGCTGCTCTCTAGATTTGCACGCTTCCATCAGTGGTAGCAGAGCTGGTTAGGCCAGCAACATTCCCTCCTATTATCGGATTTCGAATTGATTGAAGGACCTCCAAATCTAGGGTTGGTCATGGCCCAGAAACTAGATGGCCCTCCTAGGCTCAACAGCTCAATATTTTCACTACGGAGGTTCCAATTTACGATTTGGTTAGGTATCAAGGACCTAGAGGGCGTCTTGGATGGATCGGAGCAAAGGCCTGAAGCTGATGAAGTAGAGGCATTTGCTGGATTGTCTAGCCAAGTGGGAGCAAGGGCTGGGGAAGCCTCTAGCTTATCCATAAGTGGATCAGCAGTAACGAGAACCGAAATGGCTTAGTGCGGAGGAGTTACTCAAGGCATATGAAGCATGGAACCGGAAGGACAAGCAAGCTTTCAAGTACTTGTATTGGGCTTTGGAAGGCCAACTTGAGTCCCTCAAGATGCTGATTGACCTGAAGGGGAAGCAAGGAACAGCTGCTGAAGCATGGAAGCGAGTTCAAAGATCGGCACTTGCATAATGGGCTTCCAAGCATAATCATTTGGAGGAAGCGGGTCACACTATGGAACGCAACTATGGTGCTCGGGGGACCATGGTGCAGTACCTCCAGAAGTTGGACGAGTATGTGAGGGCATTGGAGGAGCTGTAGTACCATGTAGATGAGAAGGAGATCATCTACATCGCACTACAGGGGCTGGACCAAGAGGGAAACGAGGCCCTGCTTCAATACCTTCACCTTGAGCAGCAAATATGGAGCAAGGCCTGTATATGGGAGGTGTTGATCTCTGATGAGGCTCGCAAGCGTGATGCTGGAAGATGAGTTGAAGAGGGAATGGTGGCAGCAGATAGGGTTGCCTCCAAAAAAGTACAAGCAGCGGCTAGGAGGTGGGGGGAAGAAGAAGGAGCTCAACAATTGCCTCCTCCCTGAATGCAACCGGAAGCACTTGTGGAAGGAGTGTTGGAGCCGGCCAGATAGGTGCAAGCCTCAAGGCTACACAAGAGGGGCTTCACCTGTCACTAGGCCTGAGTGGGTGGAGAGGAGGATGAAGAATGGAGCCTGGAACAAGAAGGGCAGCAAAGGAAAAGCGGCAGCAGCGGTGGCAAATGATGGTGGAAAGGGAATAGAGGATTTGTCAGATGACGGTTTCTCCTTCCTTACAAGGAGACGGCGCTTGCTGTTCGTGTGTTGGCTGACCCCAAACACCTCGTTCTAGACTTTGGTGCCACTTCAGGAATGGTACAACAGCGTAAACTCTTCACTACCTACCACTCCCTCCACCTAACTCAAGAAATGTGATCATCGGGAGTGGAGATACGCTGCAAGCAACCGACATCGGCACCATCACCATCAAGGGGAAGGAGGGGTAGGTGCTGAATATGAAGGGCATGCTTCATGTTCCTGGATTGGCAGCCAACCTCCTCGCATGCTCTCAGCTTGCTATGCAAGGATTCACATGCACCTTCACCATGGCGAAGTGACGAAGCAAGATCAAGCTACTATAACTCTCGTGCAAGAAAGTAACGAAGAGCATTGTGTTTCGTTCTGTGCTCCAGTATTTGCTCTAGACACAAGGCAATCATGGCCTTGTTGTCGACGTACAGAACTCGAGGAGAACAAGGCTGCTCACCCAAGTCAGTCAGCACGTAGGTCAGCCTGCGGAACTTCTGCGCAGCCATAGCCCCAGCGTAGATCTCGGCCTCACAGCTGGAGCTAAGCACAGAAGACGAACGAGTGGACCTCCACGAGACAGAACCAGTGCCGAGACTGAAAGTGTAACCATGTGACGACCGCTGAGTCGCCTGATCGTCAGCCCAAGAAGCGTCTGAGTGTCATGTGAGCACAGCTGGACCCTGCCCCCCAAGAACAAGCCCCATGCCTGATGCGCGCGGCAAGGCAGCGTGCGCACGGGCAGCTGCGCGCAAGGTAGCGGCGGCAGGGCAGCGCACGCGGGCAGTTGCGGCGCGCGGGGCAGGGGCGGCAGAGCAGCGCGCGCGGGCAGGCACGGCGTGCGGGACAGCTCATGGGCAGGCGCGGCAGGGCGGCGCATGGGCAGGCGCGGCGCACGGGCAGCTGCGCGTGAGGCAGCGGCGGCAGGCAGCGCGCGCGGGCAGGCGCGGCACGCGGGGCAGCGCACGGGCAGGCACGGCAGGCGGGCAGGCACGGCGCACGGGCAGCGTGCGCAGGCAGGCGCGGCGCGCGGGGCAGCGGCGGCAGGGCAGCGCGCGCGGGCAGGTGCGCGGGGTAGCGCACGGGCAGGCGCGCCAGGGCGGCGTACGGGCAGGCGCGGCGCACGGGCAGTAGTGCGCGGGGTAACTAGCGATAGGTACGGACCTAGCCTAGCGACTAATACCATGTCAAGAAGTGTAAACTGCAGAATGAGTTTGACTAACGGAATGGGAGTACACGTAGGAAACCCTGGAAAGGTATACCCCCTAAGACTAGCCCCACTGTAGCCTAAGAATGTATAAAATGCAGTTTTTGACAATTCTTACGAGTATAAGATAAGACATATGTCTTATAGCCGAAACTGTAGGTACTATAGTGAAAAAATGAAATAGCGCATGCGTTTTTATCTGTGCGAAACCCGATCATGACCACATGCTGACCTCTGTCGGAATTCGTCATGACGTTGCGTCCCGAACAATGGTTGCCGAAGTAGGAACCTTTGGAAATCCATACTCATGATTAGAAACCCATTTGTAAATATGTGTGAGAAACAAATTTAGTATTCCAAAAGGTTTCTATCTATAAGATTTATGATACACCCATAACCTTCCATTTACAAAATAGCCTCAACCTTTTTCGAGATAAGACATACATGTGTCTGCTATCTGGGCAATGACGGTAATTCATTGCAATCAGCCCCCCCTCACCTAGTCCACCCTTTCCATACCCCGTCTCACTCCTCCCCCTCTCTCCATCTTCGCCACTTATTGCAACCTGCGCTGAGACTGTCTCGCGTGTACCCATGTCTCCATCTAAAAGCTCCACATAGGTACCTTGAGTTGAGACTTGTGTGGGAAATCCATAGTAATAATACAGCCCTTTTGCGAATAACCTTCAGCTTATCAACCAAGCAGAGTCACACTCCCCTAACAACCACTCCAGCACGAAGCAGCTCCCGCCGAGCCCTTTCAGAAACCTTGTTAACTTCCACCTTCAAAAACCGCAGCCTTGGCACGTTCCCCAGCAACCCACCGATAGCGTCTGCAGTGATTCCACTGCACCCCACCACACTCAACCGAGTCAACAGCACCAGTTTACTTGCTGCTATCACGCTGTCTGAGAAGCCATCACAGCCTTCCACCCTTAGATCCTCCAGCATGCCACATGCACGCAGCAGCTCCACCAGCTGCCCCTCCTCCAGCCCACAGCAGTTAACGAGAGCCAAGCTCTTGAGCCTTCTGAAGACAGCAGCTCGTGCCAGCGACTCAAAGGACTGTGGCTCGCTACTCAGTCTTGGGATAGTAGAGGAGGGGGAGGACGATGAAGGAAGGGAAGGGAAGGGCGTGGTGGGGGGATAGGGGCACATGAGGGGAGAGGCAGAGGTGAGGGAGGGTAGCCCGGAAGGGTCACAAGTGGAGACGAAGCGAATGGTGTGAAGGGTTAACGAGTCCAGTGGAGGGCAGAACACTTCCACAGGAGTCGCAGGTGTGCTCGTCTTTGAAGGTGTGCTCTTGTTAGAGAGTGCGCTCCCCTGTGGCGGTGGGTGGGTTGAGCTTCTGCCGCCCAGTTGCTTGGCCCTTGGCAGCTGCTCTGATGCTCCGGCTGCTCTCGGGTCCTCTCCCACTGCGCCTCTTGCTTCTGCTTCTGAGACTGTTGGCTCCTGTGCTGCTTTCCCTTCTGCTTCTGCCCCTTCTGCTGCTGCCCCTTCTGCCACTGCCCCTTCTGCCGCTGTCCCTTCTGCCGCTGTCCCTTCTGCCGCTGCCCCTTCTGCTGCTGCCCCTTCTGCTGCTGCCCCTTCTTCTGCTGCCCCTTCTTCTGCTGCCCCTTCTGCTGCTGCCCCTTCTGCTGCTGCCCCTTCTGCTGCTGCCCCTTCTGCTGCTGCTTCACCTGCTGCTGCCCCAGCTGCTTCCCCTTCTGCTGCTGCCCCTTCTGTTGCTGCCCCTTCTGCTGCTCCTTGTGCTGCCGGCACCGCTGCCGCTGCCCCAGCTCCCGCTGCTGCGGTGACCAGCCCTCCTGCCGCTGCCCCAGGCACTGCTGCCGGCACGGGCAGTGCTGCTGGCGCGGGCAGTGCTGCCGGCGCGGGCAGTGCTGCGGGGTGGGGCGGAGCAGGATCATTGATGTCGAAGCGAGCGCCCATGTCCTCCATCTCCAGCAGCAGCAGCTCCATCAGCGCACGCAGCAGCTCCCGTGCGTCTGCCTGCGGCACCGCCACCCACGCTAGCAGCTTCTCACTCACGGCCGCCAGATCGTCTTCCAGGTCATCCTCTGGCATGTATCGCACCACCTCCTCCGCATCAATCCATTGCCCTCCCCCCCCCCCCTCCTCATTCCACTCCGTCTGCGCCTCCACTTCCTCCTCCACAGCAGCAGTGAAGAAGCCTGCAGCCTCGGCAGCACGGCAGGCCTTTGCAAGGGCCTCCTGGCGTGCACTGCTGCTTTTCATTTCGGCCTTAGCCAGGCGCACGCAGCGGCACAGCAGGATGGCGGAGCGCACGTGAACGACGGCCTGGTGGATGTGGGAGAGGGCCCCCACGCCGTGGTGCAAGTGGCGGCGGTGCAGCGCCTCTACGGCGGCTTCCTTGAGCTTCCACTTGGATGTCTCCATGAGGTCCATCCAGTTGTTCATTGCTGCCACAAAGTCACCGCATGATGCTGCTGCTTCCACGGCCAGGTCCACGTACCGTCGCCTGCTGCTGCCCCTCACCCCCTCGCAGGCCACCACCGGCGTGGCAGCTGATGCCGGTGATGCCGGTTCGACGCCCTCTGCTGCTTCTGCTTCTCCGATTGTCATTGCCTCTGATTCATCTCCTGCTTCTGCTTCTTCTTTTGCTGCTGCTGCAGGGAAAGCAGCGGTACTTCCTCCCCCTTCGTTCTCCACAGCCATCGCCCCTTCCAGCCCCACCACTCCATCATCCCTTCCCTGCGGTCCGACAACGATCCCCGGCTGCTCCACGCGCACCAGCATGGCCACAAGGCAGTCCAGAGACGGCTTCTGCGGCGACATGGACGGCAAGATACCGCCGCTCGCCGCCTCTCGTCCTCTCAGCGTGAGGCGTTGCAGATTGCTGCAGCATGCAAGCATGCCCGGGCGGTACAAGGGCAGCCCGGAGAGTGTGAGGGTGTGCAGGCGGGAGGAGGACGAGAGGAGCAGATCCCGGAGGCCTTGTGGGATGAAGAGAAAGTAGGAGGTGGAGTGCAGCGAGAGGGAGGCGAGAGCGGGGTTGGCTTCAACCAGCGCTGCAAGAGAGTGGCTGGGAATCATGGGGCAGTCGTGGACGGCCAGATGGGTGAGCGTGTGCAGCGAGCGAGCGAGGGTGTGCAGGTCGCAGGGGTCGATGGTGCAGGAGTGGATGGAAGGCGAGCGAGGCGAGGCGAGGGAAGAAGGCGAGGGGCTTGAGGGCGGCCTCGAGCGCGCCAGAGTGGATGGTGAGGGAGGAGAGGGAGCGGCGGAGCGGGGAGGAGGCGGACGCGAGAGTGTAGAGGCCGAAGGCGTAGGGGCGGGAGAGGGTGAGGGAGGTGAGGGAGGAGCAGAGGGCGACGAAGCGGTAGTGCGTGGGCGCGTAGAGGAGGGTGAGAGAGCGCAGTGAGGGGAAGGCATGCACTGGGGGAGGCGGCGGGTCGTTCCAGGTGAGTGGGGAGTGGATCTCCAGTGTCGTCACGAGGCTGGTGTGAGGGGGAGCAGGGGGGGAGAGGTGGGGGCAAAGAGATTGGATTTGGGGAAGAGGGGTGGAGGGGGGATGTGGTTGAGTAACGTCTGCTGTTTCCGAACAACCAGCGAGCACTGAGGCCCAGTGGCCGAGCGGGCGTTATAGGTTAGGCAGTTGCCGGGGATATGGGTGAAGCAGTGGTGGTATGCACCGGAGGAATGGGTTCAAGGCGTGGACAGGAGGGGTGCGGAAGGGGTGCAGGGGAATGCAGGTAGAGAGGATGCAGGTAGAGAGGATGCAGGAAGCGAAGAGAGCGGGGTCGCAGTCATAATGTGGGAGCGGCGAAGAAGAGAACAGAAACGCAGTAAGCGAGAGTGTGCAGTGGAAGAGAGGGGTGAGAAGGAATAGTGGCGCGTGAGTGGCGAAGGGCATAGTGAAGACTGGCGAAGGAGGCAAGAAGTAGCAGGGTTAGATAGGAGTTGGGTGAAAAGAAGTGTGGTGGGAGAGGTACGGACGGAGTGCAGAGAGAGTACGTGTACGTCTCAGCGCTCGCTCAAGAGCGGCACGGTGAAGGACGGAGACGAACCGTGACAATGCCCTTCACCGCATCAATACCGAGTGCACCGTCGTTTGCAATAAATAAGCCCCCGGGCGCTTTTTCTGGGATGGGCGTGAACGTGACACTGATGTTCACAATAATGTACTGAGACGCGCGAACCCACCATGTTGGCCAAGGTGATACACGCCCGTACCATGGGAAGCACAGCGATGCGGGGGAGCAAAGACAAACAATTATTGCGTGGAGCAGTAATTGCACCTGATAGAGAATAGACGAGAGATGAACGATAAGGGGAGAGCAAGTAGTAGAGGCGCCGTCGCGGCGCGAAACCGGAACCACTCACTCACGGGCATTGCGTGGCGAGCTTCCTCCACGTGGCGGCGTTGATGAGCAACCGGTCGCGCGACAACACGAGCTTCAGCCTCTCCAGCCGCGGGCACCCCGCGCCGATTGCGCGCAGAATCTGCTCCAGCGTGGTGCAACTAACCTCCACTGTGAGGTCCATTATATGGGTAAATACCCCAGGATAAACGTCGAGGTTCCTCATCCATTCTCTGGGGGTGACGCCCTGTTTTTTTGCGAAGGAGTGGAGGTGGAGCGAGTGGGGCGTGCGGCGGGAGAGGCGGCGGAGGTGCGAGCAGGAGAGCGCGACGCTGCAGCGGTCGCGCGGATCGTGGACGAGCGCGAGGATGGGCTGGAGGAGCTCGTCGGGGAGCGACAGCAGGCGCGAGCTCTCGCGACGGCGCGCGCTCTTCATCGTCGCGCGTTGAGGGTTTCGCTAACACGGGAACAGAAACAGTCTGCTGAGACTGGTGGAATGGGGACGAATAGCAACCCCGAAGGATGATACGGGAATCAGCGCATGTATGCTCTGTTTGCTCGTGTCAAAGCTGCTGGATGCGGTACTTCGTGATGTCTACTTGCGCTCATGGGTTGGGTGGCTTCCTGGTTGATGCGACGAAACGCGTACCTACCTATGGGCGGAATTCGCGTCTGGTGCTTCAGGGCGTAATTCTACTAGCGCGTCTCGGGTCTAGCCTCCTGTGTTTGACCCACACCTCCCCGATCCCCATTCGGCATGAGTGCAAGGACAAACCCCAACCCCGATGTAGCATGTTCCAACGATTGGAATAGCGACAATGTGTAGTTATGTGGCAACCAAAGAAAGTGCTATAGCGAGGACGCAACCAGCCCTATACTCAGCTTGCCACAATGGACATCAAGCTGATTCTGCGTTCACTTACTGCTTGAATCTCATAAGTTTGAGGTTGATACTATACAAAAGATGCAAAGCGCAGAATTGATCCCTTGAATGGACACATCACCTCACTTGCAGCTTTCACACACATTTTATTATGAACTGCGTCACTGCGCATCCAAGCAAGGCCGTCACCCATCAAGCATCTTGGTCCAGTCAAACGGCTTCCAGCTCTCTATAAACTTCGCAACGCTCTGCTGCACCTGCTGCGGCCGCGACCCCACCCCTCCGCGCCCCCCTCTGGCGCGTGCTCTCCCGCCGAAGCGCTCTGGATCCATCTCCATCATGCCGGCGATCACATCGCGGCCGAACGACGCCTTGAAGGAGCTCTCGTCGTCAATCACGTGGCAGTAGCCGCCCTGCCGGGGAGGGAGAGGGGTGGGATGAGCAGCGAGGTGGAGCAGGTGGGTTGAGAGGGGGCGTCTCAGTTGATGAGGCCACGTGGTCATGGCTGCTGGCCTGGCCTGCTGGTGCTCCTCATTCAACCACATGCCTGTATGCCATGTGCCATGTGCCATGTGCTGTGTGCCATGTGCCTTGTAAGCATGTACCATATGCCATGTACCATGTACCATGTGCCATATGCCATGTACCATGTACCATGTGCCATATGCCATGTACCATGTACCATGTGCCATATGCCATGTTCCATGTACCATGTGCCATATGCCATGTTCCATGTACCTTGTGCCATATGCCATGTTCCATGTACCATGTGCCATATGCCATGTTCCATGTACCTTGTGCCATATGCCATGTTCCATGTACCATGTGCCATATGCCATGTTCCATGTACCATGTGCCATATGCCATGTACCGTGTACCATGTGCCATATGCCATGTACCATGTACCATGTGCTACACAAGAAGGAGGGTGTGTGCCGCTGTCTGCCATGTGCAATCCACCATCCGCCCTGCCCCATGCCCCATGTGCCAGCGAAATGCACCAACATCCATTCAGAAACACGGATGCAGCAACACATGGGCACAGAGCATGGCGAGCAGGCAGGGGGGGCTGACCTGCAGGCCGAACTCGACGTGGAAGTAGGGGAAGTTGGGCGGGATGGCGCCGCGCAGCCCGCCCCTGATGGCGCGCGTGTCGATGATGCGCTTGCTGTGCTGCTGGCTCCACTCGCTCTCCGCCTCGTCCAACGCCTAACGCACCCAGCACGTGGGGGAAAGGAAAGGAGAAGGGGGAATGGGTAGTGAGGAGGGGAGAAGGGAAGACGCATGAGGCAGTGAGAGGGCGTGAGATGTGCGCTCATGGGACAGTGTGGCGGGTTGCATGTGAGGCACATGTCCGCTCTTTTGACTCCATTCCATTCCAGGTCGCTTCTCACAGCATGGCCCGCCTTTGCACGGCAGAAAAGTGCGCTGCACTGCAGCAGGCACATGAGCCCAGCAGCAGCAGGCATGTGTGTCCCACCCACCACTCAGGCCACACCCTTCCATACCAGTGTCAGTGTCAGTGTCAGTGTGAGTGTCAGTGCACGCACCTTCTTGAAGTAGAGCGGAGCCTGGGCCATGACAGCAGCGGGCACGGGGAAGGCCTCCACGTAGCAGTGCTTGCGCTGCCGCCCCGCCCCGCCCACCCCCATGGCGCTCTCCAGGAAGATCACCCCCGCGCCGTCGTCCACGGCCATGGCCATGCGCGTGAGGCACTTCTTGAAGTTGCGCACCTCATCCCACACCGCCTCCTCCACCACCCGCATGCTGCCCTCGTGCTGCCACCACCGGGGGGAAAGAGGGTGAGGGGTGTGAGCGAGTGTGGGGCACGAGCATGCATGGCCATTGTAGCAGCAGTTTCGAGTATGAGGGGCGGCCTGTGGGGCTGTGAGTATGAGGGGCGCCCTGTGGGGCTGTGAGTATGAGGGGCGCCCTGTGGGGCTGTGAGTGTGGGGGGCGCCCTGTGGGGCCGCTGCACGGCGTGGTTCACCTCGGACGGCACGATGAGCACGTGGTTGGGCAGCAGAGAGCCCCCGGGCGGCAGCATGAGGTAGCTGTGGGCGGCAACAGACACCACGAGGTGGCGAGGGCGGGCGGGGCTGTCGATGCACTGCTGGCAGCGCTGCTGCACCGCCGCCTGCCGCCTGAAATCGCCCACCTGCCCCGCCTTCTCCCTCTGCTGCTGTGACGGCCTGATAGGGGGGTGTGGGCAGCACCGGTGAGGGATGGACACAAGGGAGAGCCAAGCTGAGTGGAAGGTGAGGTAGCATGGCGCGAGAAGCATGGGGCGAGAAGCATGGAGCAAGCACCAGGCTCACGGAGCACAGCCACCAACCAAACACTCCCATTCGCCCATGCAGCTCAGCTCACCTGCCCTTCTTCCGCCCCCCTCCTCCCCCGCCTGCCTGCAGCCCCTCATCCCAGTCGTATTCATCATCCACCTCCACCGGTCCCTTGTACCGCCCGCCCGCCCGCCCGATGCCTGCCGCTACGCGCCGATCCCAGCCACCCAGGTCGTCCGCGCCGCCCGCCCGCTCCGCCGCCACCAGCTGCCGCAGCGACGCGCCGTCGTCGTCCGCAAAGTACCTGCAGCGCGGGCGGGGGCGCTCCCGGTGAGAGGGGCATAGTCAAGTGAAGGAGGGGCATAGTCAAGTGAAGGAGGGGCATAGTCAAGTGAAGGAGGGGCATAGTCAAGTGAAGGAGGGGCATAGTCAAGTGAAGGAGGGGCATAGTCAAGTGAAGGAGGGGCATAGTCAAGTGAAGGAGGGGCGGAAGGAAGAGAAGGAATGGCAGATGAGGTTGAGCTGCTCTTGCTTGCCATTCCCTGCCCTTCGGCATCCATTCCTCCCCTTGCCTCTCCCATCCCATGTCCATCCCCTCTGCCCACCACACCTAGCCCACACTCTACCATGCGTGCAGCAACGAAGCCTGACCGAGGGCCGGCACAAGGAGGGTGGGAGCTACAGCAACAGGAGGGGCCAAGAAAACCCGGTCCGTGTGCAGTGCAGGTAAGTATGGAACTGACGCGGAGGAGCCAAAACAAACAGGCACGATGGAAACTCGGGCTATAAGAGGAACATCAAGGCCAACAGCGGGAGGGACACTGTCTTGAGCATTTCCCACTTCAACATCCCCCCTCTCACCTCAACCTTCTAACACTGGAAAGCCACAAAACAATCCCTTGTTGCCATCATCCCCCTCACCTCACCCCATCCCCCTCAACCTTGCCCCAATCCCGCTCACCTTGCCCGCTGCCCCGTGCCTGCCTCCACATCGTATCGCTCCACACGCTTCTCCCGCCGCCCCGCCTGCACCTCGCCCCTCCCCTCCCGTGCCGCCATGACAGCTGGCAGGTAGCGCCCGCTGCCATCCACCAGCGGCAGCTGCACCACCTCCCTCCGCCCCTCCCCCTCCCCCGCCTCCCCCTCTCCGTCCCCCCTGGCCTCCGCCAAGGCCCGGGGCTCCACTGTGGATGTGGCAGGTGCAGCCAGCAGTGCGGGCGGTGGTGCTGGCGGAGGGGGCTGGGACTTGGCCACTGCTGCACGCTGTGAGGTGAACGGGTGATCGTGATGGTGATGAGGATGGTGATGGTGATGCTGATGAAGATGGTGATGAGGATGCTGATGAGGATGCTGATGAGGATGGTGATGAGGATGGTGATGAGGATGGTGATGAGGATGGTGATCACGACGAGTGATGGCTAGTTAAATAATTGGCCGATCAAGAACAACCAAAATCAGTGCATGAAAGCAGCTCAACACGCAGATCCCACCTGCGCCCATCCCACCTGCGCCCATCCCACCTGCGCCCATCCCACCTGCGCCCATCCCACCTGCGCCCATCCCACCTGCGCCCATCCCACCTGCGCCCATCCCACCTGCGCCCATCCCACCTGCGCTCATCCCACCTGCCAGCAGTCGGCTTCCTCAGCCTTTCCCATCAGCTTGAGCCTCATAGCCTTTGCTGCCATCTGATTGGCTGTCAGTCCCCCCGCCAGTATCTCCTGCACCCGTGCATCGCCCGCATCCACAGCAGCCGCACCAGAGCGCTCAGCACCACCCTCCATGCCCTCCCTCCCCCCTTCCGCAGATCTCCCCAACTCCTCTCCTGCACCCCTCGTTCCACCGTCCTCACTCGCCCTTCTCTCACCACCCTCCCTCCTCCTTTCACTCTTCTCCCCATCACTTGCGGTTACTCCCTCTGCATTTCCACCAGCCCCACCACTGCCTGCTGCTTCCCGGCCTCTCTCCCCTGCTGCTCCTCTCCTCCCACCGTTTGCACCCCTCGCCTCCTCCCCGGCCCCAACCCCCCTCTCCGACTCTCCTCCGCCCGTGCCTTGCCCCGCCACGTCACCACGGGCCAGCTGCTGCGCCAGGAAGCCGCCGTCGTCAGCAAAGGCATTCACGCTGCGAGCCGCCTCCTCCAGCACCCCATCCACCCACCCACCCCGTCTTCCCACGCCCATGCCCGGCCTCCACGCCCCCACCCCCTTCCACGCCTGCTTCCTCTCCTCGCTACCCTTGCCCTCGCCTCCTTCCCCATCCCTCACTTTGTCGCCAGTTCTCCCCCTCCCATCTGGTGCCCCTCCCTCCCCTCGCCGGCGCCACGACACCGACTCCTGCTGCGGCACCCTCATGCCCGCCCTCGCCCCTCCTGACACGCCCTCCAGGTACCCCCTCCTGCCGCCCCTCATCCGCCTCTCCTCTTCCTCCTCCTCCTCCTCCTCACCACTATCATTCCGCCCACCCTTTCTTCCACGCCCATTTGCCTCAATCTCGCGCTCCCCCTCCTGCCTCCAACCTCCCCTGCCTCCGCTTCCCTTGTCCCTTGTGCCTCCCTCCTTGCCTCTCCAGCCCTTTCCATCTCCACCTCTCCCTCCACCCCCTTCCTCATCTTCAATCCTCGACCCTTCACCACCTCTGCTCCTTTTCCCCTCCCTTTCTCCCTCTCCCCTCCCATCCTGCGCCCCCGCCCCCTCGTCCCCTCTATCCGCCCCCGCGCCCCTCTCGCGGTGGCGGGCAGCATGCTTGTGGGCGAAGGCGGGGGCAGCGCGGGCGGAGGAGAGGCGCGCGGTCAGGGAGGAGAGCGAGCCCCACCGGTCCGACACCACCTGGGGGGGGGGAGGAGAGGGGGAGGGGGGGGGAGGGATGGGGAGGGATGGCGGAGGGATGGGGGAGGGATGGGGGAGGGATGGGGGAGGGAGAGGCTGTTTATGTTGTTTCAAAGAGAATTGAAGCGAGAATGGGAAGCAGGGTCCCCAGCACGATCTCTCACAAGCGAGCCAGGCAGGGCAGGCATCATCCCACTAGTGAAACGCGCATTCCCACTTCCAGCACCACCACCCGCGTCGTTGGATCCCCCGCCATCTCACCTTCACCCCCCTCCCTCCCTCCCTCCCTTCACCTCTCTCCCCTCACCTCGCTCAGCCGCTTCCCCTCGCGCTCCGCCTGCTCCTTGGCTCGCTGCAGGGCCTTCAGCCGCCAGCTGGCACCGCCATCGCCCACACCGGGCGGCGGTGCTGGGCGGGCAGAGCCCGGCCGTTGGGCGGCTTGACGGACGGCAGGGTCCCCGGTAGGGTGGGCGGCAGCAGAGTCAGGGAAGCCGTCCGCGGTCTTGAAGTAGGGGTTGAGCTCCCTTGCACTGCTTCCCAGCTCCACCTGCACATGCCGGGCAGGGGGCATGGCATGCGGCAGAGAGGGCAGGGGGCATGCGGCGGTTCAATGTACAAGGTGTGGGCCATGAGGGCTGCAACGTGCACACAACTGCATGGGTGGCGGGGCGGAGCAAGGACGAAAGCAATAGGAGGCAAAGGTATGAAACTAGGGCTGGCAGTGAGGAGGTGCAGAGGCGACAGTGATGCTATGCTGTGAGGCACCCACCCACCCACCCACCCACCCACCCATGTACAACCCCTCCTTCCCCCTCACCTCTTTCCTGCCGTCCTCCTCGTCCTCCTCCGCCCTCGTTTCCCCCAGCAGTCGCTCCGGTGCGTGCAGCATCCACTCCAGCCCCGCTGCCTCGCGCGCCTGCTGCCCGCCCTGCCCCGCTCCCTCTGACCGCGCACCTGACCCTCCACCCAAGCCTGCAATTGGGACTACATCCGGGGATGGACATGGGAGCATGGGGGGGGCGGAGAGGAATGGGGTGGATGCGTTGAGAGAGCGGTGGGTGCAGCGTGCTGGGCTCAGGAGGAAAGCAGCAAGGGGAGCAGCGAGAGGGGCACAGCACAAGAAGCATCACTTGTATGCGAAGCGTCGCATCCGTGACATGCCGTGCCTGTTGCAGTCACCCTCGTCATGATTCACCTTGACGCACTCGCCGCCGCCGCTGCTCACCTGCCCTCCCACCAGCCCGTGTCTCGTCGCCCTCCTCATCCGACCCCTCCGAATCATCTGAGCCGTCCGATACGTCCTCGATCCATTTGCCCCGCCTCTTCCTTCTTTCCTCCCTCTTCCTCGCTCTCCTCGTCGCCCGCCCATCCTCGCTGTCCGATTGGCTCTCCCCCGCCTCGCTCTCACTCCCGCGCCGCCCTTTCCTCTTCCCTTTCTTCGCGCCTCTCTCCCGCTTCCGCTTCTTTCGTCGTCTCTCCCGCTCGCTGTCGCACGAGTCGTCCGATCCCTTCCGGGGCTTCACCTTATTCCCGCTGCTATCCTTCTTCTTCTCGCCAGCGCTCTCAACCCTAACGAATTTCACGGCGCTGAGCATGCTGAGCGACGCACGCGATGGAAGAGGCCAACTGCGAGCTGCTAAGGCAGCAGAGATAGTGTCGAGAAGCGAACAGTCAGGTTCGGGTAACCACCTTGCGAACCTCGTCAAACATCAACTTTATAACGGGAGGGAATGACTGGCGGTACCTTCGGTTAGAGCTTCTGGCAGCCCTCCTATCGCAAGAAAGCCCAAATTGGTTCATTCTTCCTAATCTACGTCATGTAACAACCACGACCCTTATAACAATGGGCAACCCTGTGTTAATGAAAATTGTAAGGAAATTTTCATTTTCCTTACTTCAAGCCCCTGCATAACGCGTTGTTACGAGTGCAATTGAGCGAACGAGCGAGAATTGCACTATCGAAGCAAAACAATACAATGAGCGAAGGCATGAGCGAAGAATATATAGCGAAGCTATAGTTGTAACGGTAATGTGTGAAATTGGGGTGCGCGACGGGCCTGGCGCCGAGGTTGGGAATTGTCGAGGCGAAGGTCCGGAGCGCGGGTTACCAACCGAACCGTAAGGTTGGGTCGCGGCGTGAACAGTGGCAGGAACAGTAGTCGAGACGAGTGGTAACGGTGTACTGTTGGGTGCTGTTGGCGGGAACGGTGGTGTACGCGCTGAGCAGGGACGCGAAGTAAGGAAAAGGAATTTTCCTTACACTACCCCACCCCCTGAGGAGGTCCTCTTTACGAAAGCGCGTGTACATCCCGGAAATTGCGCTGCGCAGGTACTCGGTGAGGACGGGGTGATTTTCAATCCTGTCCAGGGGAACCCAGTTGTCTTTAGTGGGCGTGCGGTCTTTCCAGCGGATCAGAAATTCGATTCTGCGGGCTCCCCGTGGATCACGAACTCGGTGGCTCAAGATTTTCTCGGGCGTGATGATTTGCTCTATTGGCGGTCGTGTCATGCTGGCTGGGCGGTTGCGAGGCAATTGGCTGGTGGATGGCATGTATGGGCGAAGCAGGCTGACGTGGAATGACGGGCTGACGTACGAGTCAGCAGGGAGGAGGAGGTGGGCGGTGACGGGTGTGATCATGTGGCTGATGCGAAATGGCCCGCAATATCGGGGGCGGAATTGGTGATGGGCAGGCGGAGGTTTTGAGTGTCGAGTAGCACGAGGTCGTCGGGCTGGTAAGTGACGGGTCGGTGGTGGCGGTCGGCGTTACGCTTAGCGATGATGTTTGATTTTTTTATTGCGTCTGCTGCTCGGGTCCATGCTGCTTGTAAAATCTCTGCGAACTGTTGCGCGCGTGGCACCGGGTTGTCGGGATTCAAAGTCATGGGTACTGTGGGGTCTTGTCCGTAGTTCAGGTAAAACGGTGACTGTTGGGTCGTGGCGGATGGCGAGTTGTTGTACGCGAACTCGATGAGTGGCATTTGCTGTTCCCAGGTGGTCGGGTCGTCACACGTGGCTCGGATGAGTTGCTCCATGGTCAGGTTCGACCGTTCTGTCTGTCCGTCGGTCTCGGGGTGGTACGAAGAACTGAACTGTAGTCGCGTGCCGAACTGCTGCCACAGGTTCCGCCAGAAGTTGCTCGTGAATTTCGTATCGCGATCGCTGATAATCGCTGCTGGTATCCCGTGCAGTCGAACGACGGTGGAGATGAAGAGGCGGGCTGTTTCTTCGGCTGTGATCGATTTCTTGCACGCGGCGAAAAGTGCCATTTTCGTCAGCCGATCGACGACGACCAGGATCGCGTCATTCCCACTTGCTCCAGCCGGTAACCCCGTGACGAAGTCCATCGTCACCTGCTGCCAAGCACGCTCTGGGGGTGGTATCGGCTGCAACTATCCTGCCGGCTGCTTCCGTGATGACTTCATGAGTTGGCAGGTGGGACACAATGCCACGTCTCGTTGCACGTCGGTCAGCATTTCGGGCCAATAGTAATACCGCTGTAGTGTGAGAATAATAACGAGGAATGGATGAACTAGGAAGCAGGTGGGTACAAGTATGAAAACCTAAAAGAGTTGTACCCCATATTGTCTACCCCACTACAGCCTACAATATAGTTCTGACACACCCCCATAGGCAAAGTGGGGGACAAACAAGAGAACAAGGCAAGGTCAAGCTCAGGGTGGATCACAACGTCACCACACATTTTGAGCACAAGTTCAAGGCCACAAGGCCAGTTCACATGCAGGATAATAAATCAAGGTGAACAAGCAAGACAGTGATCTCAACCCAGCAAAGGTAAGCATGCAGGTGCAGGTATATATAGATCACAGTACAGGAAAAGTCAAGAGGTAAGCAAGTGAGGCCCGGTAGGCACAAGACCTAGCATAGTACAGAAACGCTGATGATCACAAGGCTGAAGTGCCTTGGTAAAGATATCAGCAGTGTTGGCCCGAGAGGCCACGTAAGCAAGACGAAGCTGACCACGCTGCTGCAACTCTCGAGCAAGGAAGTAGCGCAGAGCAATGTGCTTCGTTCTGTGCTCCAGTCTGTGCTCCTGACACAAGGCCAGCATGGCCTTGTTGTCGACGTACAGAACTGGAGGAGAACGAGGCGCCTCTCCCAAGTCAGTCAGCAGGTAGGTGAGCCAGCGTAACTCCTGTGCAGCCATGGCCCCAGCGTAGATCTCAGCCTCACAACTGGAGCTGAGAACAGAGGACGAGCGGGTAGACCGCCACGAAACAGAGCCGGAACCAAGGCTGAAGGTGTAACCCTGTGACGACCGCTGCGTAGCCAAGTCGTCAACCCAAGAAGCGTCTGCTTGACCAGTGAGGACAACTCGAGCCCGTCCTCCAAGCACGAGCCCCATGCCCGACGTACTGCACAGGTAGCGCAACACCCTCTTAGCTGCAGCCATGTGCTCTGGTCGGTGTCTCCCAGGAGCAACATAGCGTGCCAAGATGCTAAGAGGGTATGCCAAGTCAGGTCGAGTGCAGGTCATCAGGTACATGAGGCAGCCAACAAGCTCTGGGTACGGGCCACTCGGCTCTACGGACTCATCCGAAGGCAGAGCTGAGAGCGAGTGGCGAGTAGACAGAGGAGTGGCCTGAGGCGAGGAGTACGTGAAGTTGAAGCACTGGAGGACCTGCTGCACCATGTGTGACTGAGTCAAGGTAATGGTGCGCCGTGCTCTGTCCCGGGTGATCTGCAAGCCAAGATAGCTGCGCAGTTCATCCAAGTCTGTGCACGTGTGTCTCTTCTGCAGCTCCGACTTCACGTGGGCCAGTCCAGCAGTGTCAGCAGTAGCAAAAACCAAGTCGTCGACGTACACGAGGATGTAGAACGGCGGCAGAGTAGTGTCGGTGCGGAGAAACAGCGACGGGTCAGCAGTGGAAGGAGCAAACCCAAGAGCCGCAAGCGTAGTCCTCAGTGTGTCGTGCCACTCGCGGGGCGCCTGGCGGAGACCGTAGACTGGCCGCCGGAGGCTCCACTGGGTACCAGGAGGAAACGACCCAGTGAAGCCAGGTGGGCGGCGCAGCCAGATCTCCTCGTGCAGGCTGCCCTGTAGGAAAACAGTGCTGAAGTCAAGAGAGTGAAGCTCGTAGTCACGCTGAGCAGCGACGTGCAGTAGAACCTGAAGAGTGGTCATCTTCGGGGTCGGGGAGAAGGTCTGGAAGAAGTCAACTCCCTGTCGCTGACTGAAGCCTCGTGCAACGTAACGCGCCTTGAAGACAGGCGGAGAACCCGGCGGCCGCTTCACCCTGAAAATCCACATGCCACTGACGATGTTCGCCCCAGGAGGGGGAACCTCGTCGACGTAGGTGCCTGTGGACTTCCAGGATGCCATCTCTGCGTCCATGGCTGACTGCCACTGAGAGGAGTAGGGACCCTCTATCGCCTCTACGTAAGAGCGCGGGGTCGGGATGTCTGGTGCATCCGGGTCTCCCTCAGGTGCAATCAGCATGGACACGAGATGAGGTACAGCGGCTGCAAAGCACTCAAAGTCCTCCTGCCTGTCCTCAAGGACGTCCGTGCCAAGATCACACTCACCCCCGACGGACGGAGGACAGGCAGACTCAGACTCAGCATCAAGACTCGCGGCGTAGTCTAGACGACAGTGAGCAGCAAAGTCGACAAGCTCAGCAACTAAGGCAGACACAGCAGTGGACTCAAAGGAAGGGTCAGTGACAACAGTGGCCAGGAGACGCGTGACAGTAGGACTAGCAGCACGAAGGGAGTCAGACTCCGGGTAAAAAAGGGCAGGAAGAGAGGACGCAGGAGGAGACGGCAGAGGGACACGCTGCGGAGCAGTGGAAGGGCGCAGAGCCATCCGGTGCGTGCCAGGGACAGGAGGAGGACGCTGACGCGAACCACGACGACTAGTGCTAGCAGCACGAACAGGCGACGCAGGACGAGACGCAGGCGCACGACGCTCAGCAAGCCCTCCAGTCGGACCAGTGTAAGGAGAAGGAGCAGGCAGTGGGGAGGCGGGCTGCAACTGTGACTGCGACTGGACAGGCGGTGGACACTCTAAGGAAGGAGCAGGACCAGTAGAAGGCGGAAGACCAAGAACCTGCTGAAGGAGCGGAACGTAGTACGGCCGCGGCCGCGTAGCGCCTCCAGAACCAGCAGGGACAGCACCAGCAACCCCAGCGGGAGCTCCAACTCCAGCAGCACCACCAGCTCCAGCAGCACCTCCAGCTGCTCCAGTAGCGCCAACTCTAGCACCCACAGGAGCACCGGCTCCAGCAGCACCTCCAGCTCCAGCACCTCCAGCAGCTCTAGCT